CATATATACACACTCTCACACACACACACATATATATATATATATCCTATACACACAGTCATACAAACTCTCTCACACATATACACGTATAGTCATACACACACACATATCTTCATACATACACACCCTTGAGTACATATATACCCTAAACACATACAATCGTACACAAACTCTCTCTCTCACACACGCAAAAGCTGCCGCCCTGAACACACAGAACAGTGTATCCATCCCTAACAAAGCAACATGTAAGTTGGTGGTTTGCACAAAGAAAGAAGGAGGGTAGAAAGTGGTCTCGGCAAAAGGTAAAGAGCCATGAGGTGCGGTTTATGCGGCCAGAGGCGCATCTCATGGCCTCCTGGTGACCTGCTGACAGAGGTCACTGCACCCAGGGCCCACATTCGACAGCGATGCCGGCTAAGACGGTGGTGACATCCACCAGTTGCTCTGCTGAAAGGGGTGAATCGAAACGATAAGGCAACTAACTGTATAGCACAATGTATATTCAATATTCTGTGATAAACCATAGTGGAAAATGACATAGAAAGAAGAATATATATATGCATGTATATACAACTGACTGACTTTACTGCACAGCATGAATTAGCATTGTAAATCAACTATACTTCAACTAAAAAATACTGTAATTTTTAAAAAAGGGGGCGAGTTGCCTCTTTTTACCAACAGGTGGTTGGTATTGTTCGTCTCGCCCTCAGTAAATCCCTTGAAAGGAAAAGTCAACCGCGGGACGCAAGGGGGGACCAAGTCAGGCGGCAAGTGCAGGAGGCCGGGCACACAGCAGCAGGACCAGCTCGGGGGGCCCTGGTGTTTGAGGGAGACCCCAACATAAGCCCCTCCAGGGGCTCCAAATAACCCCTCTGGCCCTTGCCAAGTCCAGGTCTGGCTCTTCCTGTCAGTCACTGCCTGGCACCAAGAACCTGGTCGCCCTGACACTCTCTCAATTCTAGGTTAGGAAGCCTGGGATGAACATTTTAGCCAGACTCTGGGCCAAACTCTGCGTTTTACAGAGAAAACTGCTATTCCAGGAAAAGGAAAGGACTCACCCCCAGTTGAAAGGCCATAGACCAGAACCAGTCTGCACAGAATATAGCCTGGAATCACACTGGGGGGCGCTCTCGTCACACTGGGGGGCGCTCTCGTCACACCTCGCCCACCCACGCACTGTCTGCAAACTCCACTTCCTTCAAGCCTCAGCTCAGTGGTGCCTCTTCCAGGAAGCCTTCCCAGCCTCCCTCCTCTTTCAGGTTAGAGCTCGAGGCCCTCTTCTCAGACCCCGTGTGCCAGATAACCTCATTAGATAACTGGAGTCAGGCTGGAAGGCTCTGGCTCATCCTTATCCATACCATGGACACACGCTTCTCAAATGAAAGAAGAACATCAAGTCTACAGCCTCAGGTCCAGTGCTGGGCAGGGCACCGCGGATGTAGAGTGTAACTCGGAGCCCGTCTTGGTCAGCATGGAGGGCCCTCTGCTCAACCACTCAACCCTCTCACACACACTCTCTCTCTCTTACCTGCATCTAAACAACTAAGCCACCTACTCTCCAGACCACAGTTCAACACTCAGCTGCTTTCTAAACGTGCTCCCCACGGTTACCCGTGGCAGGCCTCCCCGGGGAAGGTCCAGGCCGGTGGTTCTGGGCTTCAGCTGCACATTGATGCCATCTGGGGGCCTCCACCCGCTCCCCCTCCCCGATGCCGATGTCACACCTCGGGCCACCTGAGGGGTCCCAGGCGTCATATTTTTAACCTCCCCATTTGATTCCAGCACATAGCCAAGGTGAAGAAACACGCTCCTAAGGAAAAAAAAATGTGATTCTGGAAACTGTGTTGGTTCAGCCAGGACCGTGCGTGGGTGGAGATAATTGTGAGTGAGTGTTAGAGACACTCAGAGAGACACACACAGTGAAAGAGGAAGAGGTTGCTCAGCACTGTAGCCGGGCTTCCTCACTCTCGGCTCCGTTACAGTTCGGGCCAGATGAGTTTTGTTGTGGGAGCTTCTCTGTGCACTGGAGGATATTCAGCAGCAGCCTTGGCCTTAACCTGTTAGATGCCAATAGTAAACCCTCCCCCCAGCAGCTGAGACAACCCAAGAAGTCTGCAGACATCGGCAAATGTCCCCGAGGTAGGGGAGCAAGATCACCCCTGGGTGAGAACTACTGGTGTAAACTAACTACCAAATGCTCTATTGCATATTTATGTACTTATGTACATATTTCAACCCTAAGTCACAAAAGGCACTTTTCTAAATTTGACTGAGTGGCTAAGGATTCTAGACACAGGTCAGTGTCTTGGTGAGGGACACACAGGACTGTACCACACACGGGATGTGTAGGAAATGGTGGGTGAGTCGAGACAGAATCACGGAAACTAGATCAGGCAGGTTCAAGGAGTTAAGATGAGTCGCTGGTGCGTGCGTGCGTGCAAAGTCACTGCAGTCGTGTCCAGCTCTTTGCAATCCTATGGACTATAGCCCGCCAGGCTCCTCTGTCCAAGGAATTCTCCAGGCAAGGATGCTGAAGAGGGTCGCCATGCCCTCCTCCAGGGCATCTTCCCGACCCAGGGATCGACACGAGTCTTTTCTATTTCTTGCACTGGCAGGCAAGTTTTTTACCACTAGCGCCCCCTGGGAAGCCTGAGGCAGTGGTCAAACCTAGAGAAAGAAGATCGAATTAACAAAACCCCAAAGCCAGGTGTTCCAGAAAAGAGCAAAGCCGGAGGCAAACGCAGGGTTGCCACAGATGAAGGCTGGTGATGATCAGGAGCTGGGAAGAGGGAAACAGTCAGAGGAGGAGCTCTGGGACCTTCTGGGCATGGAAGGACCACAACAAGCCGTGTTTGAGGGCAGAGTCGAGCGTGGTGTGCAGCTGGCCCAGGCGGAGGAAGGAAGCTGAAAGCAGGAAGCGGAGCCTTACCGCCCCGCCCACCTGCTGCCTAAACCGCCTCCAATCCCCGCAAGGCCGCCCTGCCACAGTCGGAGCTCAGGGCAGGCGCTGGCGGAGAAAACACTCGGCCCACTCTGGGGCCGAGCACAGCCTGTCTCCCGGGTACCTGCGGGGGCCTTGAACCAGGCCCGTGACCGGCCTCCCCCAGCCTCCGGGGCCCACAAGGAAGACCCTCCGGAACGGCCCCTCCAGACAACACCCCAAAAGCACAAAGAACCAACTGGGGCCCCCCAGGGACCCTGGAGCCAGACACTCTGCCCCCCATGGGCTCCGTCACCCTCCACCCCGGCCCTTCCCAAGCCCTGTCCCCTGGGCTCCCGTGGCCCCCTGCCTGGGTTCCCCCCATCCCCTCACATTCCTCCTGAGCCGCCAGGGGTCTGCTGCTTATGCCCACCTCTGGGCGCCTGGGGCCTCGGACTTCAGTCCTGGGCCTCTTCTGAGCGCTGTCTGTTTAAAACCCGAGTCTGCACCCCCCACTCAAATCATCCTCTGACTGTCCCTGCTCAGGGCCAAGGTCCGGCACCCCCGCACCGTCCCTGCCCCCGCGTCTGCCGCCGCCAGCCCAGTCCCCCTGCACTCAGAGACTCCAGCCACCGCTCGTGTCTGCCAGAAAGAACAAAGCCACGTCCCCCTTCACAGTCTGCAGCCCCCGCCTGGTTTCTAAGTGACTCTCGGAAATAGCGCTTTGCTGGCTCCCCTGTGTCTGCCACCGGCGGGGAGCGGAAACCCGGAGGACCATCTGCAGCCTTGCTGCACCCGGTCCCCGGTGCTTCGTTCTCAGAGTCGTCTTCCTGCTTGCTGAGTACTCTTTTAAGTGCCTCGGTATGAATTACCTTCTTCTCTTCTCACAAAGGAGTTGCTTTACGCTCTTATTTATAACAATGATATGATAGTAATACGAGTGGTACTATTTGTTACCCTCTTTTTACAGTCAAGAATATTGAAGTCAAGAGTACTGAGAAACGTGAGGGACCGTCTTCAAAGTGAAGTCGCTCAGTCGTGTCCGACTTTGCGACCGCATGGACTGTAGGCTACCACGCTCCTCCATCCACGGGATTTTCCAGGCAAGAGTACAGGAGTGGGTTGTCATTTCCTTCTCCAGAGGATCTCCCCGACCTAGGGATCGAACCCAGGTCTCCCGCATTGCAGGCAGACGCTTTACTGTCTGAGCCACTGGGAAAGACTTGTTTAGTTGCTAAGTTGTGTCCAATTCTTTGCGACTGTAGCCCGCCAGGCTCCTCTGTCCATGGGATTCTCCAGGCAAGAATACTGGAGTGGAGTGGATTGCCATTTTCTTCTCCAGGGGATCTTCCCGACCCAGGGATGGAACCAGCGTCTCCTGCCTTGACAGGCAGATTCTTTACCACTGAGGCACCTGGGAAGCTCTTACCTTCACCTGAGTGGGATAAAAAGACCAGGAATGTCAGCTCTTCCGTCATGGGAAGGCAAGACAAGCCAGGGTGGCAGGGTCTTGTAGCACCCAGCACAAGTCACAAAATGAAGGCAGGAGCAGGGCTCCTGGTTCAGAAAAACTAGGTGGACACCATGGACTTACAGGGCAGAGCCAAGGCCCCAGCCTGAAATCAGAGGCATGGGGTGAGGACAGAAGCTGGTGGCAGCAGGACAGAGATCCTGCCTTGCCCAGACAGAGCATCGTCACTTGTCGAGGTTGCTGGGCCAGCCTGCCTGGGGCCCAGGGCAAGAGGGAGAAGATGGGATTGACACCAGCCTCGGGGCACAGCTCCCGAGCGTCCTGTTCAGATGAGCCGCCCGACAGCCCACTTGGGATCCTGGACCCCCAGTGGGGGCTGAACTGTTTCCATTTAAAGCCTGTGTGAACAGCAGGGGAGTGGGGCTGGCGCCGCTGGAAGAGAAAGGCGTGAGGAGACGGTGATCACCCTGCACCTGAGACTCTATAGAGTCTCCATCTTATGCCCTCCCTGGGCTCGGAGGACCACCTTGTTTGGTCTCACAATGAGCAAGCACTCCTACAACCTGCCTCTCCCTCCAGACAGCCCAGAGCCTGCCTGCAACTCACCCGCATGGGCTCATCGGGGAACCCAGGTTTGCTCGGCCTGTCCTGGCGCCGGGATCTCAGGAGCTGCTTGGCCTGCTTTTCCGTCAGAATCGGAGAAGCCCCTGAAAAAGTCAGGAAGGGACCTCAGGGACTCTCAGGCACCCCCATCCACGCACCATCTCGCCGCCCAAGGCCAAGCATTTGCAAGTCCAATTTGGGTCGGCACACAAAAGTTCTTTCACAGGGACCTGTCTCAGAGGGCTGGGCTTTCTTTCCCAAAGGCTCAGAGAGGAATTTTTAATTGTCCTAAGATGGCTAAGGCTGCATAACTAAAACTTATTTACCTGCTGCGATGACCCAGTCCTCTAAAAGTGGCCATTACTTTAATGGATATGTTGCTTTAAACACATTTTCTTCAGGTCTCTGGCCAGTGTGTTTCTTATCCCTCAGGGTTGCTTTGGGGAGATTCTTTCAAAGCCTCAACACACTAAATCAAGTTTAAATTGTTACTGGAAGGTGCCCCCATGACAAGAAGATTCTGTTAAACTTGGTAAGTATGCATGATCCCTCAAATCAGATATTATAATATAATAATTAAAGCAAATCAAGTTTTGATAATAACACACACACTCTAAAAATTATTATTCTAATAAAAGTATATCAAGGGAATTCCCTGGTGGTTCAGTGGTTAGGACTCCCACTTTTACTGCAGGGAACGCCAGGTTCAATCCCTGGTCAAGGGGGCTAAGATCCCACAAGCCAGGCAGCACAGCCAAAAAAACAAGTGAAAAAAATGCATATCGAATTTTAAGATTGATCAGCATTTTTGAGAATTAGTATTCAAATGCATTTAAAGACTAAAAAAAATAATTTATCCCTTATGATAGCAATTCTGGGAGCCTACTCTTAAGGAAAAAAAAAAGAAGCATTGAATTATTATGTATGACATATTATTTGAAATTATGAAAAATACTTAAAAATATAAAATAGCTTTATTCCAGTTTATCTTGTCAGCATAGACATAGGTTTCAGGAATTAATGCTCACCTGAGAAGAAAATCAGCAAGGTGAGAGACAGCGCAAGCACAAAGAACCCCTTCATCCTGCCGGGTCCGCTCTCTGCCTGTCGCAGAATGAATCCCCCCACAGAGAGCAAGCCTACTTGAAGGAAGCCACATCCGGCCCAAACACTGTGCTTTGGCTCACAGCGCTCACAGCATGATGCGAAACTCATCTGACTCGAAGTTTTTACTATGATCACCAAAATATTTTCTTCTGAATTCCTATAAATTTTCATCCTGAGGAAGGAAATCATCCCTCTGTCATATGACTTTCAGAGCTTGAATTTGACCAAGCAACACACGACAACCATTTCATTTAAACAGATACATAGACCTCTGGGAGTAGCTTGTGTTTATCTGTAGCTTCTGTTTATGCTCCTGTTGTTTCACTGAGGTTGAATCATCTCTTCCATTTGCATATTTTATGACATTTTCACAAAGCCCATTCACCAATCTAATTTGACCTCCCTACTAATTTCAGAGGTGGGCATGCAAATTAGCCAGGAGCCTGATGAAGGGGAAATTTTTTTCAGCTGACCTTGGAGCCAGCTAGACCAGGGTTCACGCCTGGGGTTTATGTCTTTCTAGCAACGTAACCTTCCATCAATCACTTATCCTCTTTCTTTTTTTAAAAAGGAAGTTTTGTTATTTATAGCTGTGCTGGGTTTCCCTTTCTCCGTTCGGGCTTTCTTTAGTTGCGGTGTGTGGACTTCTCATTGCAGGGACTGCAGCTTCTCCTGCTGCAGAGCGTGTCTCTAGGTGAGAGAGCTTCGTAGCTGCCGTTCGCGGGCCGGGCTCAGTAGTTGTACGTGTTTGTTGGGGGGCGTGGGGGTCTGCGGGGAGAGGAGGGGGTCTCGTTGCTCTGCTGCATGTGGGATCTTCCAGGACCCGGATTCGAACCGTGCATTGGCAGGCAGATTCGTACCCACTGGACCACCCGGGAAGCCCCCACTTACCCTTTCTGAACTTCAGTTTCTTCTCCTGAACAAAAGAAATAACAATACCTACCATGTAGGGTTGGAGAAGACAATGGCACCCCACTCCAGTACTCTTGTCTGGAAAAATCCCATGGACGGAGGAGCCTGGTGGGCTGCAGTCCGTGGGGTCGCAAAGAGTCGGACACGACTGAGCGACTTCACTTTCACTTTTCACTTTCATGCATTGGAGAAGGCAATGGCAGCCCACTCCAGTGCTCTTGCCTGGAGAATCCCAGGGACGGGGGAGCCTGGTGGGCTGCCGTCTATGGGGTCGCACAGAGTCGGACACGACTGAAGCGACTTACCTGCAGCAGCAGCAATCACGTAGGGTGTAGGCTACGGAATGAGCTGCATAGCTCATCTTCATTTTATAGAAAAGGAAGTGAGTTTCGGAGAGTTGACATAATGTCCAAGTTCACACTTTATGCAGAAGTCCAGCCAAATTCTTCTGACCCTAAAGCTCAGCACTGTTCCCATTATGCAAACATGTTGCTCTGGCAATATGCTATCAGTCCTACTATAAGCAGCCTCACTCCACACTGAAGTGTACTTTTTTAAAGATAATAAAATCTCAACAAGCTAGTCTTTTTAAATCCAAAATCACCAAATATATATTACATAAAATTTTAAATATATTATGAAATACACGTGTGGATGGTAGATGGCAATGATTGGGATCAAATTCTCAGTTCAGAGAAGGGATCTGATGTTTGTGTGGTTACTTTGTCCACTCAAAAGAAAACAGCCTCCTATCGGTAGTGGTCCAAGTTTATGCTAATGTTGTGTAACTGATATTAAACCAAAGTGTTCTGCCCATTCTGTTGGTATAAAGGTGGTCTGAACACAATATAAACAAGGGGGAAGAAATCATGCATTGTTAGCAAAGTCGCCTCATATGTTAATTTGCTCAATATTATATGTTTGGTTTTATGTACTTTGTTGCTATGAACATCCTTCTGTTTTCATACAGTTTTCAATAACTGTAATTATTGAGAAATTTTACGAGCACTATTTTTGTCACACTAAACACCTTGGTTTTTTATGTGCATTGTCAAGTCTTTTATTCTTTTTATTCTTTGTGGTTAGAACAAACATTAGCTGCATTGTTATACCAAATAAACATCTTCTGTGGGCCAAAAAAAAGTTTATTTCTAGCTAGAAATTTCTATGTATCCAATGTAAATTTGCTATAAAAGTACTTTTTAATTTGGCAACTATTGTCTTTATCAGCACTGTCCAATAAAATCATAATGTAACTCATAGGTGCAAGCTACTAATACATAATTTACATTTTTCTAGTAGCCACATTTTTATAGTAAAAGAAAGATAATTTTTAATTATACTTATTTAACATGAAATATCCAAAATATTATTATTTCAACAAGTAATCAAGATAAAGTAATAGTGAGATATTTCACATTCTTTTGGTTTTTTTTGTACCACATCTTTAACGCCTGCACACTTCAAGTGCTCAGTAGCCACATGGGCCTGCTTTCTTCCATCTCTCTTGCCACCACCAGCATGGGCCTAGATTCTTCAATCTCTCTTGCCACCACCAGAATCTAAGCTACTGTTACCTCTCACCCAGCTGCCTGTACCAGTCTCCCAAGAGGTCTCCCAGCTTCCCTCCCTGTTTGCTTCAAACCATTCTGCATGTAGCGATAGTCTTCTTAAAACAGAAACACAAAATATAAATCGGGCCTCATCTCACTTCCCTGCTTAATAATCCTTCTTTATCTCCCCACTGTGCTCAGAACAGAATGAGAATCCCTACGATGCCCTACAGGACGCTGTGTTATCAGGGACTGTGATCCTTTCCAACCCACTCCACGCACACCCCTCCAGTGCATGCCAATCTAGCCACACTTCGTGACTTTCAACTTAACAAGCTCTCTCCCACCCAAGACCTTTGCACATGCTCTTCTTCCCTGTTCTTGGGTTTTTCTCAATCTTCAGGTATCAGTTCGTAATTTCTCTTGCACAAACAAGCCTGTCCAACCTGCCTAGTGAAGGTTCCCTGCCCCAACCACCATGACTGTCCACCTCACGGCACTCCCTGTAAACGGGTAAATGTTGTCTTTGCTTACTTTTTAAAATCCGTCTCCTCCACTGGATTGTAAACTCTAAGTAAGCTTGTATTACTTTTATAATTTTAAAAAAATAGAAAGAAAAGTGAACCTTGAGTGGACAGAAGTGCTACTGGAGAAAGGCTGTATCCAATCCTGGGATACTGCTTCACGGCCTCAGGTGAAAAGCCCCCCAGGTGTGATACTGGCAGGTCATTCAAATGCCTTTCAGGTGGGGCTCTGGGGATATCATCTCACAAAAGGGAAAAATGGCAAAACTGAAAGAGCAAGATAATCTTGTGAGTGTCATTCTGGTGGGGAGAATCTCCTTCTATCTGCCTATGATCATTTCCAGGGAGCTGGGAGCATCAGTTAGGTGAGTCACCAGGTCTCACAGCAGAAGGCGCAGTTCCCCAAAAATCCACAAGGTGGCAGAGTAGAGAGAAGAACCTGGGACAACCAAGGTCAGGGGAAAGATACTCAAGGTTCATTGTTCCGTAAGATGCCGACAACACCAGAGAATCCGTGGGAGGTGGAGAGAGATGGAGCTGCAGAGCCTCAGACTGTTTCCTACCTTTTTAACTGATCTGAAGGCGCTCAGCAGATACTGAGGCATGACAACATTTAAGAATGGTTTCTCCAGTAGTCATCTATGGATGTGAGAGTTGGACCGTAAAGAAGGCTGAGCGCCGAAGAATTGATGCTTTTGAACTGTGGTGTTGGAGAAGACTCTTGAGAGACCCTGGGACTGCAGGAGATCCAACCAGTCCATCCTAAAGGAGATCAGTCCTGGGTGTTCATTGGAAGGACTGATGCTGAAGCTGAAACTCCAATACTTTGGCCACCTGATGTGAAGAGCTGACTCATTGGAAAAGACCCTGATGCTGGGAGGGATTGAAGGCAGGAGGAGAAGGGAGTGACAGAGGATGAGGTAGTTGGATGGCATCACCGACTCAATGGACATGAGTTTGAGCAAGCTCCGGAAGTTGGTGATGGACAGGGAAGCCTGGCGTGCTGCAGTCCATGGGGTTGCAAAGAGTCGGACATGACTGAGCGACTGAACTGACTGAAGAATATATAAAGGAAGAATAGGAAAAGGAAAGGGTTAGTCACTCAGTCGTGTCTGACTCTTTGTGACCCCGTGGACTGTAACCAGCCAGGCTCCTCTGTCCATGGGATTCTCTAGGCAAGAATACTGGAGTGGATTGCCCTCTCCTCCTCCAGGAGATCTTCCCAACCCAGGGATTGAACCTGGGTCTCCCACATTGCAGGAAGATTCCTTACCATCTGAACCACCAGGGAACCCCTAAAGAAAGAATACTACCACCCATATTCACAGCACCCTGACATAACTGACATTTTCATTTGTATCGGTTTCCTTTCTCTCTTTTTTTTTTTTAATAAATTTTTATTTACTTATTTTTGGCTGTGCTGGGTCTTTGTTGCTCTGTGGGCTTTCTCTAGTTGTGATGCGAGGGCTTCTCATTGTGACGGCCTCTCTTGTTGCAGAGCACAGGCTCTAAGGTGCATGGGCTTCAGTAGTAGGGGTTTCTGGGCTCCAGAGCACAAGCTAAATAGTTGTGGCGCGTAGGCCTAGTTGCTCCGTGGCATGTGGGATCTTCCCGGACCAGGGATTGAGCGAACCTATGTCTCCTGCGTTGGCAGGCCGATTCCCCCACTGAGTCATCAGGAAAGCCCTCCCATCTCTTTTAAAAAGAAATTCTTCAAAGTTTAAGGATCGGTGATAAAGCCAACATCATCAAACTCTCAACATAATCACACCGCATACTCTTTCAATAGGATAAGACCGTGATTTCAAATGCTGTGAGTTAAAGAAACTTCAGAAACAAAAGAACAAATTTTCTTTTTTTAACTATAGAAAGCTGCTAAACCAGTCCCAAGAGAATTATAATGTGTCCACGTTCTTTAGGCCCAGAGCCAATTAAATACTAACATTTCCTTACGTAGTTGTTTTCTTTTTCTTTCTTCTCTGTTTTT